TTTGGTTGTTGATCGGGAGTAAAAGGAAAGACCATTTCATTTTTCAAAAAAGTGAAGTCAGAGTTTTCAGGTATTGTGATGAATTATTTCATTGTGTTGTGGTCTTTCCTCTTAAACCTTCTACAAATAAGAAACGGTAGCACTTTATTTTTTCTTCGAATTACCTACCATAACCAAAACACATTATTGAGAAATTCTTCAATATCTTGTTTTTGTCATTTTACGCCTTTTAATGAAGATGGGAACATTGACAGGGAAATAGATTTGAACGAAGAAGTTTCGTAAAGAGCGCGAATGGTAGTGTGATGTAAAAGTACTCATGCTAGAAATTTTCATAAAAGTGACCCAAAAAACGGCGCTAACTCGCTAACCCGTGGCCCGATTTTAACGAAACTTGTTTTATTCTGTTTCTATTCTCATTTCATTACAAATGTGGCACTATTGTGCGCCGTTTTTGCTATATTTAATTACAGACAAGCAAACAAACAAACAAACAATCTCAGAGTTTTAGTAGTATATAGATACATATATTTTAAAACAAGTGGATTGTGTGCTGTCCGTTTATTGTTCAAATTTATCGCCAACAAGTCACAGACACCTATTGTAAAAGAATCTGGCCCCTACATACACAGAGACATTAAATACCGGGTCGTCTGTATCTGGCCCCAACACATCATGTATTTTTTTCAATGAAAATCTTTGTTACCGAAGTTACCGATAATACAGTACCGCCACCTTTTTATAACGCTACCATCGGATGCCATGTGCACCCGAGAGCGATATAGAGTGTAAAAACCAACTATTCAAGAGGGCACTCGTGCTGAACAAGTAGAGATTCAACAGACTACTAAAGCAATCACTTAACTAAAATAACTGTTTATTTACATAGAGAAAATAGATATAAAAAGAACATAGATTAGATAAAATATGAATACAAACTTTCCGATATTTCAAAAACAAAGCATACTCATGATTGGCTAAAACAATCATCTGAAAGACAATCGGCATTTTCATTGGATAATTAAAATCGCACCAAAAGTGAGCAGGCTTAAAGCTACCATAAACCTGCTACAATTAACAACATAACATTTCTAGTTCCTTCTGACACTGAGCAGTATCTTGTAACTTCTTATCCTAACCACAAAATTAAACCATTTCCTTTATAATGACGTCAGTTCTGACCTGAATGTAAGTGGCCACTTTACACCTGTCCTTTACAAACGCTATATCGATGACACTTTCTT